CAGGAACTAGGAACCTGTGCAGGAACTAGGAACCTGTGCAGGAACTACAGGTGGCTGCAGGTGAACCTTGAAACACCCAACACAGGGAGCTGGACACATTCACCACACGACACTCTCATCTTGTGTGTTTTAACCTTTTCTGTGATTCTTAAACTTTTACAAACTCCTCAGTTCTCACACAGGCCAAGTTGTTTTCTATTTTTGTCTAAGCATTTTTTTTAATTATACGTTCTGATCGTAACAGATGTTTGAAGCCTTGCCATGTCTGTTAGCAAAATATCTCCTGACTCACTGGAAAGACCTTTGGAGCCAACTTCATTCAAGATGGCTGCCACCGCCAGCTGCTCTGAGAGAAGCGATAAAAAGGCGACAAGTCAGTTCAGATGTTGAGGTTTGGTGTGGTAGTAGCTGAGAGTCATTCACAACATGTTCTCTGAGCGCGACGTCTTCACAGCATCGCTCTGCGTTTTCATTCGCACCCTCGCAAGGGATTTGTGGCCTTTTCGTGTTTCTTCCCGCTCCGTGCGCTCGTGCGTGCACAGGGTCGAAGGTCCTGAAGTTTTAAATCATTCCAGGAGTTAAAGATGAAAGAAATTTAAGAAGGGCATTACAGTTCACAGTGATCTGACCCCCCCATCCTTCAGGGTTTTAACTCCCAACAGGCTGCAGAGATGGTTGACTTTCCCATCAGGCACCTGGTGGGACAGCACTGAGGGTCCTCCATCAGCTGTGACGCCCCAGAGGGTCTCTGAAGAGTGATGTGTGTTTGTGGGCAGGGTGGAGCAGCTATTACATGGGGAAGCTTTAAAAAGAGGGGGGGGGGGGGGGGTTGGTGTTTAAACAGCCCAGCTTTGATTGACAGGGCTGGGGGAAGAGCAGGGGGAGGGGGTGAGTAAGTGCTTGGGTTAAGAGAAGAGAAAGGTAGAGGGGGAGTTGCACATTGTGTGTGTGTGTGTGTGTGGGGGGGGGGGGGGGGGTTGAGAGCGCGCACACGCACAGCTGGAAATCATCAACGATTTTAGGACAAATATTTCACTTTTTGCATTTATTTAGTTGAAAACTAGAATTTTTGTTTTTAAATAATTTTAAACAACTTGTTTGGACTTTTTGTCTCATTTCACACATTTCACATTTTAATTTATTAAAACTGAAAAACATCAATTTAATATATGAGAAAAAAGTTGTTTGTTACAGCTGCACTATTGTTTTACATTTTAATTGTATGGTGTTAATCGACATGGTTGCGCTAATGTGCATAAATTTGACAAAGAAAGCAATTAAATTATTTTAAAAAAATTAAATTGATATTTGCTTTAGATCTACCTGTTCATGAAAACACACAAATACAAACATTATGCATTTTAAGTTTTAATTAAAAAAAAAGTTTAATCTTTCTAACACAAAAACAAGTTTTGACATTTTATAATTTTAATAACTACATTTTTCCTGCTATTCTTTCAGTATTAATATTTTGTGGAATTATAGATGTACTTTTTACTTTATTTTTTAAATGTTTGAAATTAACTTTTCAAGCAAACATATTTGTCTTTTTCCAAAATTTTATATTCTGCTTCTTTTTTTGTCATTTTTTTCTGCATAATTAGAAATTGTGACATCTTGAATTTCCCCCTGGGATTAATAATCTATTATATTTCTCCAATTAAATTTTGTTGAGTTTGTTTAGTGGAGTTTTATTATCTGGATATATTTGATTGATATGGATTTCTTAAAATATATTAATTTATTTTAGCTTTGAGAAGTTATTACATGTAAAAATAAATAAAGTTTTCAGACATCCTGGCGGATGTTTATGGTAAAAACACGAACAAGAAAAATCCAGAAACTTAAAAAATAAAATAAAATCATGCAACCTTGAAAAACCCACTTCTGAAGACTCGTATTTAAAAAAATGACAAACACAATAAAGAGCGTTTCTTAATCCAGAGTGTTTATTCTGTGCGTCATTAAATACAACGTTAGAGTCCCTGCCAACACCCCCCCCACCCTGAAAGTTATTTACCACTTGTACAAAACAGAGTGTGCACAAAAAAAGAAATGTGGTGCCCAGGTTATAAAACAATCAGAAAAAACTGGTGCAAAATTAAAAAAGGAAAAAAGAACGACATCCCTGCACATATAAAAATAAATTAATACTTTCTGTGTGTCCAGTTTTTTATCTGGTCCTAAAGATTTTCACACAAACTGAGGCTTCATTGGCTTTTTTTTATTTTCTCCACACCAACGGCCAACGACAAAAGGTTTATGTACACTTAACGAGGTAAAAACTGTGCCACTGAACACCGCCCCTACAAACAGTTATTTACACCCTCGCCCCCCCCCCCCACCCGATCAGCCGACTATTAAATAGCTCCTTGTTGATGAACACACCAAGCAGACGTCATTAGAAAGGGTTTACAGCAAAATCAGACCAACGCACTGTCCACAGTAGATTCTAAAACAGATAAATAAAAACCACAGCGTAGAGAAAGTTTAAAAGAGCCGAGTGTTTCTCTGCAGCTTCGTCACCAAAACTGTTTGAATAAAAAACAGAAAAAACTAAATCCCGCCTTCTTTTTACCCCCGTTTGGCCTCAGGCACTTGGGTTCTTGGACCCTGATTGGCTGGTCCTGACTGCAGTGGGTTTATAAGCTGCTGCGGTGGGCCCTGTAGGTCCTGGTAGGCTGGTCCTGCTCGAGAGGTAGGTGCAGCAGGGGGCTCCATCCGGGAGGGCAAAGGTCCGCTCGCCCACCGCACGAATCCAGTTCGTTTCCTTTTCACGTCCCTGACGGAGCCCCCCGTTCGTGGCCCAGAGAAGAGAAGGCTTCTGTGGTGAGACGTGACGAGACGGGGCTCACTGACGTGGACTGCAGAGACAGAGACAACGGGGTGTCCCCCCCCCCCACTCTGGGGCTGCTTCAAGGCAGATGTCAAACAAACATCTGCTACTGGTCAGCTTTTCCTGGAAACTGGACTTCTTTTGTGTCTGCTCGTGTATTGCTGCTGTTTTGTTTGTTTGAATAAACCGCTCCGGTTAGCTGAGGCCCCTGAGAGTGAAACAACGCAGAGACGAGAACGAAGTCCAGGAACGAGAACGAGAAGACGACCGTAAAAAAAAAAAAAAAAAAAAACCTCAAGATGAAATAATTGTCGTGGAACCTGATGATCAGCTGATGATCAGCTGAAGGTGGCGTCTCACTGAGCTGCAAAACGTCACAACAGTGATCATAAATAATTTGAGAACTGCCTTTCTGTTTTTATTTCAAAGTGTACTCCGGCAGATTAAATCATAAACGTGTGGGCGACGAAATAATGTTCACGGCCAAGAATGCAGAACTGCACGCCGTGAAGAAGGAACCACGGCTCAAACGGCCAAAGTCCAGCGAGTGGCCGAAGACGCCCAGCAGGTGCAGCTCAGTGAGAATCCAGCAGGAAACACGTGAACAGAAACACGTGAACAGAAACACGTGAACAGAAACACGTGAACAGAAACACAGCCACTACCAGAAGTTACAAAGAACAAAACTATAAGTTAGTTTCAAATAAATAGCACAACTCCAAGCAGAAATGGGGACGCGATTGAAAGCGAGCTTCTGATTTTAGATTTCAGCGCACCGCTGGAAAGAAACGCCAACAGAGACAAACTCCTCCTCGGTTAACGCTCCAGGAAGCGGAGACGAAGCCTCGGCGTATTTATCAGAGCGAGCCGGCGCCGTCATGTCTTCTCCTGCCCGGCGACGCCCACAGCCTTCTCGGCTAGCCGAGGCTTCTGCTGCCCTGAGCCGTGCGCGTCGGTGTGTGCGTGCTGCAGCGCCAGGAAGGGGTTGGCAGTGATGGCGCCTTGGCCTTGGTTCTGAGCGCCGGGCAGCAAGTTGATGGGCAGCTGGGCGGAGGAGGTGGAGGAGGAGAGGGACTGCAGCTGCTGGAGGTCCTGCTGCTGCTGCATGAGCCGGTAGAGCAACGCCTGCTGCTGATCCTGCGAGGTGGAGGAGATGAAACGGAGAGGAAACGTTAGCGCTCGTGCTCAGGAGTGTTTAGAAGAAAGCATTTGACTTGTTTGTGTCGTACGGCTGAAGGCTGCGAGGACAGCAGCTGCTGGAGCTGATGGTGCTGCAGGAGTCGCTGCTGCTCCGACAGCAGGCCGAGGTGGGCGGCGCTGGAGACACGAAACAAGAAAAGATCGCTCAGCACAGCCCATACGATATTTTCTTAACACAAGCACCTCCACAGAAGACGAGTCGTGAAAAGACCCGCCTCACCTGTTCTTACTGGTGGTTGAGCTGCTACAATCCAAGACGGAGGCAAAAGGAAAGAAAAGGGTCGTATTTATTCACTCGTAGAAAAGACTCAGACGAAATTAGGATTAGGATGAAAATATATTAAGTCAGCTCAGACTGATTTTATGATAAAACTAGGGATGCACAATATTATCGGCATGGTGTCGGACGATATTAGCGATAAAGTTAAATATCGGAAATCGGCCATTCCATCAAAATAACTCACCGATACAAAAGGCGCTGTTTATATACAGCGAGTAAAATAAGTATTTGAACACGCTGCGACTTTGCAAGTTCTTCTACGTAGAAATCATGGAGGGTCTGAAACTTTCATCTTAGGTGCAAGTCCACTGTGGGAGACATAATCTAAAAAAATATCTGGAAATCACAATGTAAGATTTTTAAAATAATGTATTTGTGTGTTACTGCTGCACATAAGTATTTGAACACCTGCCAGTCAGCAACAGTTCCGGTCCTCAGAGACCTGTTAGTCCTCCTCTATAACGTCCACCTCCATCTCCACTTGTTATTCTAAACTAGAAGCAGCTTTTTGAGGTCGTTAGCTGCATGAAGACACCTGTCCACCCCACACAACCAGTAAGACTCCAACTACTAACATGGCTAAGACCAAAGAGCTGTCCAAAGACACCAGAGACAAACTTGTAGACCTCCACAAGGCTGGAAATATCTACGGGGCAATCGTCAAGCAGCTTGTTGAAAAAAGATCAAGTGTTGGAGAAATTATTAGAAAATGGAAGAAGCTAAACATGACGGTCAATCTCCCTCGGACTGGGGCTCCATGCAAGACCTCACCTCATGGCGTATCAATGATCCTAAGAAAGGTGAGGAATGAGCCCAGAACTACATGGAGGAGCTGGTCCATGACCTGAAGAGAGCTGGCACCACTGTTTCCATGGTTACTGTGGGTAATACACTAAGACGTCGTAGTTTAAAATCAAGCATGGCACGGAAGGTTCCCCTGGTTAAATCAGCACACGTCCAGGCCCGTCTGAAGTTTGACCAGGACCATTTGGATGATCCAGAGGAGTCATGGGAGAAAGTTCTGTGGTCACATGAGACCAAAATAGAACTTTTTGGTCTTAATTCCACTCGCCATGTTTGGAGGACGAAGAATGATGAGTACCATCCCAAAAACACCATCCCTAATGTGAAGCATGGGGGTGGAAGCATCATGCTCTGGGGGTGTTTTTCTGCACATGGGACAGGACGACTGAACTGTATTAAGGAGAGGATGACCGGGGCCATGTATCGAGAGATGTTGTGGAACAACCTACTTCCCTCAGAGCATTGAAGATGGATCGTGTCTGGGTCTTCAAACATGACAATGACCTGAAGCTCACAGCCACGAGAACCAAGGAGTGGCTCCGTAAGAAGCATATCAAGGTTCTGGAGTGGCCCAGCCAGTCCCCAGACCTGAACCTTATAGAAAATCTTTGGAAGGAGCTCAAACTCTGTTTCTCAGCGACAGCCCAGAAACCTGGTGATCTAGAGAAGATCTGTGGAGGAATGGACCAACATCTCTGCTGCAGTGAACCTGGTGAAGAACTACAGGAAACCTTTGACCTCTGTCACTGCAAACAAAGACTACTGGTCCAAATATTAACATTGATGTTCACAGGTGTTCAAATACTTATTTTACTCACTGTGTGTGTGTGTGTGTGTGTGTGTGTGTGTGTGTGTGTGTGTGTGT